GGCAAGCAGGTAGCACCCGACTCGGTTAAAAACGTCTCCGAAACATTCGGCGAGACGTCTCGACTAGAAAGCATCAGGATTGTCAAATTAATTGAATATCTTAAATAATATTCACTGTTAAAGAGTGTAATAAAATATTTCAATCAAAAGACTAATAAAATTGACATTATATTTTTGCAAATATGGTACGTATTTTTCTCGTTTCTATGTTTCAGCTCGGCTTCTCAGCTTTCAGGGATAGAGGCCGAGGAGGACACGAGCAACGAACGAGTGGCCACTTACAAAGTCGGCATGCTCGGTGCGTCGGGGGTTGGTAAAACCGCACTAACCGCCCAGTTCACTACCAGCGATTCAATTAGCGCGTACGATACCTCCCTCGGTGAGTACAGATGCATCGTTTACATTATTACAATCACTCATGCGCGATCGCACGAAGCTGTGATTAAAATTATAAATTAATTTAAGTTCACAGACGTCTATAACGAAATTGAAATGTATTTATTAATCTGAATTAATCAGAATGAAATTATTAAAAATTGTGGTAAACTCCAGGAGTTTGAATCGATCAAGAAGTTTAAGTAGATTGAAATTTTTAACGCAAACTTTTAACAACTCTCCCCTCTATCAATGAACCGCTGCAGAAGTTCGGGTCATACTTAACAAGCGTGTATGTGTATTCCTCTTCACGTTTAAAGTTTTAATTGCACGAAACGCTTCAGTACTATAGTCATTAGAGTCGACATAATTCTCGACTGAAACGTTGCCGCACCGCGACAATTTCCACAACTGTTTTCAACTGTGCCGCGAAACGCGACCCCAAATTATGTCGCAAAACTAAGTAAATAGTTCCGATCCTAATTAAACCGATTCGAATTCGTCCGAATTCTTATTAATTTCGTTCAATTCATATACGCGATGAATCCTGGCCGTCCGTCCACTGGGTCTACTAATAAAATTAACTCGAAGTACTCAACGCTAGCGGTAGTTGAAAAGGTCTGCAGTATGGAAATTCCAAGTGTCTTTCTTTGGAGCGTGGCTCGACGATTATAAATTAACATCAGATTTGCATATTTCAACGTTCCCAGGTGCGGTCTTGAGTCTCTGGCGAAGCACGCTTTAAGAAATTCAATATTGTATGAATTAATGCGAGCACAGATACGATTATCTAAATCTATATTTAATGCTCTCGCTGCATGCTTTTTCTTTTCAAAAGAAGCGACCTTCCATCGATCCGAGTTTACGATAGAATAATGACCAACCACGTTCGCCAATCAGATTTTTCTAAACTTAGACTCGGAACAAGACGTTACGTAGGAGAATCGAGAATTAGTTGTAGTGCGCGAAATCAAAATGAAATAGGTTTGTTCGTAATTTAAAGTGAAACGATCTTCGCGAAGAAATTATTTTTATTTCTTCTATCAATTTTCTATTATAAAAGATAAACTGTTTTTTCACGAAATGAAAAATAAATTGTCAGAAAATGGGAACGACTGGGAACAGAGAACACATTTGAATTATCACATTATTTGAGGCTCGTGGAAAAAATCGAACGAATGAGGGCTTACGGTCGATACGGAGGACGTTCATCGCGGAAGCATTGGCGAATGCAAATTACAGGAGGTGCACCCGCTGTGATTCGTGAAGCCCGCGGCTTCGTTTCGCATCGGACGGGGATGAATAGTCGAATAATGCTGATTGTCCGCCCTCGTTACACTAGCAGCCCTTCATTCCTGGAAAAATAAGGAAGCGGAAATCCGCGGAGAGCTCGCTGTCAAAGGAGAGCCTCCTGGTTTCATTTAACTAACCAAATACTCTCGTGTAATTGAACGAAATTTCTGAGCAAGTAAACAGTTCAGTTCTCAGATTTATATTATATTATATTATATTATTTATATTATATTAGATTTATATTATATTATATTAAACTGATGGACGGCAGAGTGAAAGCAGTACACATGCTTTTGAAATCTAATACAGATTCTGCATACTAAAATGCATTTCTAAAATTTGAAATGCAAATATATTTCATTTTTCCCAGTTTACAAATATACTCTCCTAATGTCCTTTTAACATCTTTAACAAACTAGTATTGAGATTTAAAATCCAGGTATTCTAGCTGCATTCCATCAAATCTTTATCTTACTTAGAGTGGATCGCTGGTTTATTATATTATGCGAGGATTCATATTAATCTCCTGTCCTAAAGGCCAGTTCCATTTATACGCGCTTTCTCACGAGCAAGGAACTAGCATCGATCATCGTTACGCGTTAAAATTCACAATGAAAAACCAGAAATATTTCCCCTGGAGGACGAATCTTTTTCCTCTTTCGAGACTCCAGCGTTTCTCTAATTTTCGCGTTTGTATCACCCGCCTGGCTTTTCAAGAAATTTATGTGACGTGACCTGTAATATTTCCGTAAAAATAATTGTCCGGAATGAAACAATTGTTACGACACGCGTTTAGGATAATCTCTGGTTAATTTTAACGCGAGTTAATTACGGCGCAAGCTTTACGACGCGATGCCGAGATAAATGGTAGTGCTCATAAAAGGAAGTTCTCGTAGGAAATGTGAACGTATAAACTCCACAAATAGGGGGGTTCGCGTAATAAATTCGTTAACGCTCCGGCTTTCCAGCGAACATCAGTTCCTGAGGGGAAAGTATATTATGTAGTTGGATAAATTTTTCAATCGAGTAAACAGCAGGACTCAAAGAAACTTGTAACGTTTCGCGTCCACCCTGAAACGTCTCCAAACAAATCTCGTACTACTTTTCGTCGTGTATAACAATGCTTAGAATTTTCTAACATTTACATTGACAATTTGTAGCCGGAGAATTATTAATTCGATTCACAGTGGAAAGATGGATATTAAATGGAACGCAGTTCTAAGGGATAACGCAAACTGTTTTTTTCAAGCAGAGATCATCTCTGGTTATAGGATTCGACGCACGTATAAACAGCAAAGATGAGTGGAGGATGCTGATAAAGGAATCCGATTTCATTCGGACAATAATGCGTTCGACATTGCCTTAACTTCGCTTCTTTACTATTCCATACTCGCGATACAAGTCGTGGAGCCTTATAGCCTTTCGGTCGTTACCTTCCCGCAGTATCGTGTGCTCTTCACGTACGCTTTCCGGTCGCATATGCAATAAGCCGCGGCTGGATCCTCCGTTCGAGTAAAAACTTCTGAATGCAGGGAAAACTTGCATGAAGATCACCCACGTTATTTTAGATCCTTTCGTCAATAACGGATAAATACATTTTGCAGAGTTTGTGCGTGTATTATAGAAACGTGTGAATAAAAGTAGTATAGACAATTTTAAAACAATATATTGATCTATCAAATGTAAAATGAAATTTTTATTTTAATTATTAGAAGTATTAATCAGATTCTAGTAATTAAATTTTGATTAAAAATTTCAAGAGCTTAATATAATTTATACTGATTTATAAATAGCCTAATATTAGCTGATAATTCGTTAGGAATACAGAATGAATACTTTGAAAAATTAGTTGATTGGGACAAGGGTGATTATCTAAAAAATGTATTACACAATTATTTAAGCAACGCGGTGTATGATTAATTCGCTGGCTAGTCAGTTTAGTAATATCTCATACTGGTGCCACGTCACGAGCGTAATCCTTTGGTGAAACATAACAGGGAAAGTGGTCGTTATCTATCGAAGGCAGACGTTCGAAACCCTTGAACCACTTCCACGGCTCGCCGACCTGCACTCCATGTGCTAAAATATCGATATTCACTGTTGGCAAAGTTTCATATCACAAACGAGGTATACAAGTAAACCTGCATCGCTTTATGAAATGTCTCACGTTCAATTGCTGTACCAATTCGAAAAGTTAAGACTGTTCATGAATTTGATTAAAAAACTACTTTTTTTAAAGTAATATTGAAGTACAAGAGAGATGTATTTGAGCGAATATTGGGTGAGTCGCCTTAGGCAAGCCAAGGATTACCTTCGATAGTCAAAACACCGATGTATATGTATACTGATCTCAAAATATTCCCCAGAAATTGAAATTTCAAGTGGATTAAATTCAGAGAGCGCTACAAAAAATACCCATACTTTCGCAAAACCATATTCTGCAATCATTTTTTCCTGATCAAAATTTTCAACATTCGAGTTTAATGAATATTTATAAACAATCGTTCATAAATAAAAATGCATGCGAACGTGATTAAAAATCTACAATTTAGCAATACAGTATGAAATTATATTTGCATTATCGAAATCATTGCATTGTTATACGTAGAGTGCGGATTTTTATGGATATTAAAAATTTTGTGATGTCAATTTAACCCAGACAGCTTGGAATATTGTAGGAACATTACTTTGCAATATTAAATCTTGCAAGGAATGTTGCAGCAATATTGCAATATTAAATCTTGCATTATTCTTCACATTACATGTATCCTTCAAATGTACCAAATTCGCACTTTAATTATCAAATTTGAATTGTACAAAAATTTCATCGAATATCGTTGCTCAAACTTGTTCCAGACGACGAATACGGGCAGAAAAACGTATCTGTGATGCTGAACGGCGAAGAAACAGAGTTAGAGATCATCGATCATCCAGCGGCGGAGATGTCAGTAAGTACAATAATAAAGCTTTGATCATGAAATAATCTCGATCCCGTTACTATTTACACACCTATACCAAACACTATTACTCTTCTTCACTCGTTATTTTCTTCCTCCGTCCATCAGACGAATCTCGTGCATGACTCCCCTCGCAAGGAAAGGATTATCTCTCATATTTAAAAAGACTAAACCATTTTGAACTCGGTTTCTTTTTACAGAATATATGCGAGATTATCTCAGTGCACGTCTCGCTCGCTACGAGCAAAGACTACGTCAATACCAGGGCGAGATTAAATTTTCTTCTACTTTTAGAAAGTAGAATATTTTTCAATTTCTAGTTTGCCCTTAGGTAATCTTTTAATTTCATGATAGTAGGAAACATTTTGTGTGAAACGTTGAAAGTAGACTTGGAATAAAGAAAAGAGATTTCATTTAAATGACAGTATCTCATTTGTTAGCCCTTTTACCCTCTAAGTATATTTACATATTTCTCGACCTAAGCAAGCTTAAGCTGGTATTGAATTAATGCCGTGCTGTATTCATTAACGGGCTGCAGATTTTACGAATTGTATCCGAAATAACATCAAAATATCTGAAATACACATCATTGTTTGTAAAAGGCAAAACAAATTTCTGTTTCGATTTCACTTTTTCAGTGATTGTTAAAAATATGTTTCCCTGCAGAGAAATTCGCAGTTTACTCGTCAACATCGTTGAAATTGGTGAGCACTTGCAGTAAAAAATTTATTTGTTCTAAAAACGATCCAAATATAAGCGTGGTAGAAAAAAGTTCATACAGGACCTTTGCTCGACTATGGAAACGTACGTCCGAAACTAATTGAGACTCGGTTCAGGCACGCACGCAATAGATACATCACTTTTTCTCTTCCCTTTTCGACAATCGTTTCGTTGCGTGACCTGCCTCTTTAGACACGTCGACGTTCTCTCTTCTCGGGAATTTGATTAAATCTTCATTTCAAACGACAATTTAATACGCGACAACGTAGATACCACTGCTTAAATCTAACAATGACACTAAATGATAACTTTTCAAATATAATCCTTTGTTCCGCAAGCTTCATATTTCACGTAGACATCAACTCATATAAATATAACAAAGTTGAACTGAAATAAAGAATGTCCAAATCTAAATCATAGAATGTTGTTTTTATTCCAATAAATAAAACACGCTGAGTCTTTGTCGTATGAAGGAAGTCGTAGAGAAACTGTCCTCCGCTTCTCAGGTGGAAACTTTCTGCTCCACGTACAATCCTGATGTCTACGTGGTGGTTTACTCGGTAGTCGACAGGCAAAGCTTGAAAATGGCTGAGGAGACATTGGTGTATCTATGGAAGAGTGATTACATGGCCAGTCGCGGTGTAATCCTCGTTGGGAACAAAGTCGATCTCGAACGGAAACGCGAGGTACCCACTGTCGGTGAGTAAAGTTATACATCTAATTAATGGGTGAACTTTGTAACGAGCTACAAGAACCAACATATTTACGTACACCTATGAAACCAGAACCACTGATCTCTATTTACAATTAAACGCAAATTGTTCTATAGAAATCTGTGATCAGAGCCGATGAAATGTTAACATCGTTGTTCGCAAATTATTTCTTACAAAGGATGAGAAAAACATGAAATTCATTGAACGAATTATAATAGTAGTAGTAGACGAGGAGGAAAGATCAAAATGTATTATTTAAATAAAAAGTGTAAAAATCTTGGAATGAAACGGTCAATGATTAAATTAATGAATTTCTGTTTTTATTCATATTTGTAGCTATCGTGTTTATCAATTTATTTATTTTTAACTGCTCAATTGTTATAACGAAGGCTGACACGTTCGCGTGACGTTAATTGTGGGAAACGTAATCAGGCTTTCGTGTTCACAGATAATAAATCAGATCGAGCCCCGTGTTTTGGTAACGTGATACAGAATTACGAGTACCCTTCAGATACAGGATGCTCTGTCATCCCTAGGAACAATTTTAAGGGCTGATTTTTGAAGTCTAAATAAGATAATATCAACAACAGAAACTCCATTGGTCATAAATTGTATAAATCTATAGAATAATTGGATGTGCATAAAATATAAAAAAAATAGACTGCTTGTAATTTATAAAAACAAGGAACTTAAACAATACATAAATAATAGAAGAAATTTCTGTATAGAATACATTTATTAAATTGGTATCATAAATATTTTATTTTTCATACAAGTATTGTAGTAAAATTAAAAATTGATCTGCGATCAACGATAGATACTCGATACTCGTAATACTGTATAAAGATCTGAACTTCAAACTTCTCACACGTGTTCTAACTATTCCAAACAAGTGGGACGACGTTTGGCGAACGACTGTGGCTGCAAGTTCATCGAAACGTCCTCGTCCTCGGGTCTGGCCCATCACGCGGACGAACTACTAGTCGGCATTCTAGCCCAGATCAAACTGAACCCGCAACGGGACCGCGACCAAGCGAACAGGCGAAGAAGAAGCAAACACCGTAGACGGATACTGAAGCACCTGCTGGGCTTCAAGAGAAAAACGAAGAGCTGCGAAGATCTGCTGGCTCTCTAACGATTTCCTAAACGAAGAGTGCGGGTACGTTGTTGCGTGGTATATGTAGAATAACAGAGAAGATGTTGAATCAATTAATGTTTAAGACTCGAGACACGAGAAGTCTAAGGATTTTGTAATTCTGTACAGAATTGCAAATTAACAAGTGTAAAAATCTTGATTTGTCCCTTTAATTTTATCCTTGGGCATCTCGCGTGGAACAGTATTGTTAAATTACGATGAAAATGCGATTGATAACGTAGGGAATAAGTGATCGTGTCATATCAAAGTATTTACTTTGTCCTTCATACAAAATTATCGCACTTTGATATTCATCACTGATCCGTTAATTCGCGAAACGCGTGAAATCACTATTTTACAGTTATAATTATTTGCGCCAACAATCAATACCAATTATTATTTTACAATATCAGTTTCAACAATTATTCCATCATTGAATTAATAAATATCGTATATTTATTATTCCGTAATGCAGTTAGTTTTAGCTTTGCATTAATTATTAACAAGAGAACAATTGACACATCGTTTCACGAAGATCGTTCGACGAAATCAATTTCCTCACGCCAATTTGAAAGGACAAAGTAACTTCGAGATCCGAGAACGGAAATCGCTAACCGGAAATTGTGATCATCTTTTAAAATAGCTTTTTTAAGGTAAAGATCTTGTAGAAGTAAACTTCCAACGAAAATCGCCTATAGCTTCTAAATTGGTAAGTTCGCGCAATTTCCTACTCTAAGAGTAGAGAATAGTTAAACTCGTTCAAGTATTCGTGGAACTTCGTGTTTTTAACGTAGCTTGGAATCATCGACAGTCACCATTAACGTTAAGGATAATTATTTCCCAATAATTATCACATTTGTATAAATTAAATTATGGATCTTGATGGAAATTAGAAGATCAAAGCACATCGAACTTCGTGCATCGTACCGATACCTGTGTGAAACAATACGTGTATTCTACTTTTTTTTATTTTATAAGTTAGAATTTAGGATGATACACTTCCGCGAACTGGACAGAATATGGACAGAAATATGCTGTACACTTTTCAAGTATGGGACGGTAGACGTAGATTGTAAATTATTAACATTTCATATGTCGTTTACAAAACTGTATGTGAAACGCTCGTCTCTGTGTGATTCGAATTAGAATTTATATTCTGCATGAAACGATTAAATATAGATGTACATTTGTAACGGTGTATGAGACGAAAGCAACGAATAACTTATTTTTCTGACACGCCTCTATTAAGAGCCATCGTTTCAAAGAGAAAGAGATTGAATAATAAAATTTCTATTTTAGAATAAGAGAGCAAATGATGTGTATACATTCAGAGTTTTATCAATATTCGACGATTGTCCAGTGACCAACGATAAACATTGCCCTTGTTGCTAATTGTTACTTCATCGAAATGAAAATTACGTTCATTAATAGACTGCGGATTTTATGCGCTTATAGGAAAACTGTACGTGCAGGGAATATCAAAAGTGCATTCAATATCCATGGATGTACAGAATATCAGAAATGCTTATCTATAAATTCGTATTATAAATATTTTATTTCAGATAAAAAATCCACAGTCTATTCACTAGGCTTCCCTCTAAGGTAGTGAATGTACAAACGCTGCGTTACTGTTGTATTCCTCGATTTTCAGCATTCTAAGAGATAGGCTTCAGTTTATAAGCGATTAGAATTTGAAATCTAGATGTAATTATTTTCAAGCTTCGACACGTGGGACCGTATGGACATTCGAATAAAATTTCTTGTGTACAATACCTGTGGTCTTTCATTTAAAATTCATAAACTATTCACGTACATCGTTTTATTCATTTGTATGTACATCATATTAAAATACCGATTACACCAAATTTCATAGTAAGAGACAGAAAGTAAACAATATTTTTCTTTAGTTTTCCAATAGGTTTTTAAACTTCAGTTGATCGTCTGCACAAAATCTTCTCGTAACATTCGCGTAGAACCTGGATTAAAATTGCAATCGTCAGGTAGGTATACAAATTTTAATTAACTCGTTAAGCAATTTTTCAATTATTACCTTTTCTACAATGTATACTTCGCGTATGTACAACTTTGACTACTACCGCTTTACATTTCTTCGAATGCAACTCGACGATTAACAATAAGAAACTGAAATTAAGTCCAAGGTGTAATTCAACTTGATAGGAGTTTATTAAATGATCATTTACCTGAGTAACAAGGCATTGGGGAAGGTGTACAACAGGGTGGCGTGCAAGGTGCGGGCGGGTGGCAGACTCGCGAAGGGCAGCAAGGAGAAGTTATTATCGGTACTTTACAACAGATAGGCGTTGGTCCACAACAGAGTGGCACTATCGGACAAGGGGGCGGACAACAAGGCGGTGGCGGACAATAGGGTCGCGGTGGACAACAAGGTCTCTGAGGCGGACAAACAGCTGGTAGCTCCTCGATCCTCGGGGGTAGCAAGAGAGAGCATATCGGAGGAGGTGGAGGACACGGGCATTGGCTGAAAGGCATTATTATTCGATAGGAAATTGTATTAGCGTTCTTCCACTTTTCTTCTACTTTTCATATTTACCAGCACTCCATGGCACAAAGTAAATGTTTGATCTCCTCCATGTCGTTCCAACATCCTATCACCTTTTTGCAACTCATCTTGAATGCGAATTAACTATCACGTTTCACTTTTAATATATACAATTTAGTCGTTCTGAACTTAGAATTTAGTCGTAAATCTGTTTATAAGTATGTCATGACATGGAATTTTGAATTAGGCCAGATAGGGTTGTGATATGAAAATGATCACTTCGGAATTGTAGCTCATTTGTTTTTTGACATCGTTATGACTGTTGTACATGTCGTATACGTACTATTTATAATGTTTTACGTCTTTTAAACGTTTTTAATGTCCCGACTTTTAACAAATTTTTAATTTTCGGCTTTTTAAAGCTTTTAACAGAATTCGTAATAATTTATTTTCATACGATGCATATACAACCAAAGAAGAGCGCTTATGAACGATTAATGATACAGATATCCCTTCTCTTACCACAAAGATTGAGGCCCATCTTTTTACATCCTGCAGGTTCGACAAAGTATAGAGAAAATTATCGTTTTTCACCTATATTATAACTATTAATACAGGACCGACTACAGTATTCTTTTGGGCACCCACATTTAAATGGGGCTTAGTGATTGCAGGGCTAGGGGATATAAATCGTCCACCAGAAACAGTTTCTCTCGGTCAAACCGCGAGTCTCATGATTACAGGTGCCATATGGTCCAGGTAAATAAATTATCTACTTATAATTCCAGGATAAAAACGACAATTATGAATGACATTAATGACAGAGGCTCATTATCAGGTACTCGTTAGTTATCACACCAAAGAACTACAATTTGTTTAGTGTAAACGCGTTCACAGGCCTCACGGGGGCGTATAATTTTGTGCGAGGGGCAAGGCATCAATTGTCTACGTATTCAGAATGATATACACAATTTATTTAATAAAAGAATTTTTATTATTATATTTACAAAACCATTCCGTTATACATTCATTTCACAGAGACGCTAACTATTCTAATGTCGTCGTAAGGTTTGTCGGTCTTCGGATTCGTTTTCACTTGACTGATGTTTTGTACCACTTCCATTCCCTTCACCACCCTGCCGAATACAGTGTGTTTATTATCCAGCCAAGGCTAAAACAAAAATGCATTAATCGGCAAAGTGACAAAAAACTATTTTACAAGTCAAATAATAAAACGGGAAACTTACAGTTGGCGTTAAAGTGATGAAAAATTGACTGCCGTTCGTGTTTGGTCCAGCGTTAGCCATGCTCAATGTGTACGGCCTATCGTGCTTCAAATGTGGCCTGAACTCATCTTCGAATTCCCCACCCCATATACTTTCTCCGCCAGTTCCAGTTCCAGTCGGGTCCCCGGTTTGGATCATAAAACCTTTGATCACTCTATGGAATATGTGCCCGTTGTAATAACCGTTCTTCGAGTGAACGCAGAAATTCTCCACCGTTTTCGGAACGTCCTTGCCGAAGAGATTCAAATGGATGTCTCCGAGAGCCGTGTGGATAATAGCCGTGTCGTAAATCTTTTGCACGTTCGTTGCTTCGGTAGAAGAAATGATATCTTCCTTCGACGGTCTTTCGTTGAAGACGTCCCTGTCGCATTCCTGACTCTTTGTGTCTTCTGGTTCCCTTCTTGTAAACATGTAGAACCTATTCTTCTTATATGCCGTGCAGAAGAGGGTTGGATCCGGTCGGTTCAACTCCAGAGTCGGATTCTCCGAAGCTTCCATCTCCACCGTCACCGCGGCTGTAGTTTTCCTCGCTTTCCCCTAAACATTTTTTAACATGTGTAAATCGTTATAATCTATTAAAATAAATTATATACCTGAAATAAAGCTAGCTGCATAGGCCGAATGTTTTCCGGTTTTCCCATAATCTTGATACACCGATTCGTGTACAAATTTACAAGCTTCACCCCTAACATTGTGCTATATACGATCATGTAACCGGACTCGTCGAAAATAATGTTTCCTAAGTTTGTTTCGGTTTTATCCAATTCCCTTTCCACTGCCATCCTAAAAGCGGTGTTAATATTTTAATCAAGAACTTACTTAGTTTACGACTCGATTTTATACCTTCGCCCAAATTCCATATTCGGTAACTGCTGCGTCATTTGTTGCAATTCTGTGAACCTCTGCAACGTTTCGTCGAACACTCTGTACAATTTACCAGTACGGAAATTAAAGACTCTGACTTTTCTGTCACCGCTTAGAGATGCGAATCGTTTACCATCCGGTGATACCGCTAAACCACATGGGTAAGTTTTATTCTTAGCGAACTCGAACAAGTCTGTATCTAGTTTCGATGAGAACGTAACACATTTCGGAAATTTGTACCCCATTTTTGGCCCCGTCCAGTATTCTAAGATTCCTGCTTTGTCTACGGAGATACATGTCTCATACACAGGATTGTACTGAAAATAAATTATATAATATATAAATACGTTGTCAATTAAATCACAGAGTTATGTTACTTACCTTCATAGCAACGACAGGCTTCGTATGTAATCTTTCGAAAACATGCAAGGGTGTGTTCGTTCCTTGTCCATCGTAAATAAAAATCTTATTAGATTCTTGAGCAGAAACTGCTACAGCAGATATTGCATCGCCTGGAGAGTATATCCACTCGCAACAAAGTGGCACAAAATCCATTTTTATCATATTGATCATATCTGAAATGAAATTATCAGATTAATTAAGAGTATTAAAATATTTATGTATCAAGGAATACTCACCAAAGTTTATAACATCAAAGATTTTAATTGTTTTGTCCAAACTCACTGTACAGGCATGAACACCGTTGCAACTGGCCGCCATAGATTGTATGGCCATTAAATGAGCACGAAAGTGTTTTACAAATTCTATGAGCTCTTCTTGCTTTTTCCAGAATTTTACGTGACCATCGCAGCTAGCCGTTATCACAAAATTTGATCTGTTTAAGGAACATGAAAGATAGAACTGCATTCACATTGAAGGCATAAAAAATATAAATAATGGAATAACAAGTACTAACCTTGTTACTAAAATATGAGTAATTACATCTCTGTGCATGTAAGACTTCTCGTAACACTCGCAGCATGGTAAGTTTTCTATGTACACTTGTTCGTACTCCAAAACTGTACAATCAAGAAACAAGTAATTGCAATTAACAATAAAAAGACAACAGTTCAAACATTGACTCTATCTCATTCCTTCTTAACATAAGCTAATTCCAAATACAGAATCACTTAAAATTTTATATGGTATACGCGAAATGTTAGATAGTATTTCATTCAATTTTTATAACATATTACAAAAGAAAAGGAATAGAGAATAGGTTATACAGTGTACCTTTCGATTTCTTTTGAGGAACAGCTTCTGAAGGCAAGGGACCAACCCACTCCTCTTCATTCTCACTTTCGCTATGCGCTCTTTTATTATTTGACATTGTTAAATGTAATGAAAAATAAATTCATAGAGAATAATTGCATGCTTGACTTATGTATGCATACAACATATATACATACTGCAACGCGCGGGATGTCGATCTAACTTCATATTATTGGATGAAGTGAAGTGAGGTACAAGAAGTGTAATTCAAGTAAATAACAATTAATACAAAAATATTATTAAGGTGAATTAAATGCAAAAATTTATTTGTCACAGAATATAATAATCGTACTATTAGAGCCACTCTTAAAGAGATATAAAACTGATAGTACATATTTCTTCTTTTCGACGATTAGCTGTCATTTAACCTATTAATAAGTGTATAGTATGAATGCTGCATGTAATGATGCATATAAGTTGCATAAATACTTAAATTAAAGATGTGTTTATTAATTACATAAATGTAATATTTCCTTTAGGTAGAACATAATGAAGTTTACACAATTGTTACGCAAACAACATATAGATAGAGCAAAAAATTGGTTATGGTATCATCAACGAGACAGAACTGTCCAAGTGTCTAAAGCAGAAGCAATTTTAGCATCTATGAATATTCCAGTTGAGGACGCCAATGCTTTTGCAATTCGATCAACTGAAAATTTAATTATAAAAGAAAAGTAATGCATCAATAATTCATTTTTCATCTTGTGCTTATCGTATATATCAATTTATATTTTATTATGGCAGATTCGAAAATCCATTTCCTATCAAAGATGTTAATGAGAACAGTAAAACTTACCTGATGATTGGAGACCTTTATACTTTGCAAGAAGGTGTACAACAAGCAAGTTTGTTGACAAAGACAGTGCAAGTTGAAGATAAACTACCAAAGAAAGTTACGGATTTAATTACTGATGTTCCATGTAACATAGACACTTTGGTAGAGAGGTAGATTAATAACCGTACGGTTTAACACATACAAGGCAGTCTGTAAGAATCACTTTCACCAAATTCCAATTAATTTGATCAATCAAGCCTCCTATGGAATTCGTCTTTTCTCCACTGAGTCTCCCTGAATTCATTTATATCATGAATTACAGACTACCTTGTGCAAGTATTAATTTATTTGCTTGTAAATTGCACAATTATTTAATTATTATTTCAGATTTGTACGGTCATCTGTAATATATGACCCAGAGCAAGTAAAACTACCAAAAATAAAAGACCCTGAGAGACCTAGTTGGGTATATCCAAGAGTATTCGGTTTATCTAGTACAAGAAAGGTGTAAGTATGAATTATTTTGTTTTCATCATTACTCTTAAACACGGGAATCTGTTGTAGGCACAATTTGTTCAAAAAATTGTTACAACTCTGTGAATCGTTGAGTGGATTAAGCATTGCGCAGAATAGATTCATAGTTAGCGATGGGCTTCTATCTACGTTCATAGGTATACCGTCAAAATATTAATTCTTGTTCAACGTTTGTAGCCATTCTTTACATTTTGTATATATTATAGAGAAAGAAAATAGGTTTCTAAACTTTTCGACAAAAATGGACATAATGATGACGTCTATGATGCCTTTAGCACCAATAGCAGATGTAAATATACATAACGAACTCAAGATGCCTAATATTTATCCATTACATTCTACCGCTGGTTTGACCAAATCTGAGATCTACGATAGCACGGATTTATATCGTAAGTTTATTAATTCTTTTTTCCATTATACATTAAAGATCAAAACTGAACAAACGCTTTTTAAAACTAAATAGCTGTTTTAAAATTAGACCAAACGATCGGAATTTTTTGAGTAGTTAAGTAGTTAGATTTGTATCTGGGCTTGTAAGGAAAATTTGAACAACACATTTTAAACATTTACGTGAAATAAATGTAAGAGTTCTTATGTGCACGTTAACATTGCAGCAATCAACAAGGAGTCACCATTAATGAATGTTCACACCATTTTCGTAAATTATGATCCATCGAAGGTGAAAAACTTGACTGAATTGCCAGTTACTGAAAATCAGATTCATGCACGTTCTTTGACACAGTCGTTCACTACTGCAGCGACATATGCTCGGCAACGATTCGGGAAAGACGTGAAAGCATTACCTGAACCTGTTGTCGTGCAGTGCATTCAATCTGATGGTCAGAACTTCTATTTCTCTGTATATCAACTTAACACTTTAGACATCGATGGTGAAGAGGGAATTAGAAATTTTTGGTGGGCAGAACCAACGATAAAATTGTACGAATTTGCTGGTTATAAAGAAGGACAACCCTATCTTGATGGGTACAACAGTGACGTTTTTAAAAGGCTCCTTGCGTTTTATCGAAACAATTGAAATAACTGAATTGTAAGTTTGTATACTTTTTGTAAATATAAATAATTTCATAGTTTTTAGTTCTTATGTGTTTGATCACCACTCTTCGTTATAGTTGTATATTCTCATACATACGTTCACTGCGTGATAGTTAACAAGTTTTTGAAAAGCATAGTATCTTGGATGTTTGTATCGATCTCTTTTTGCTTTATCTGACAACGATGAATACTTTGAGGTTTTATCAAGTCTTTCAAAGAAGGATAAGGTCTGACATGAAAGTAAATGTGATGCAGTGCCTGAAGCAACGAAATTTTAATTAGTATCGTTGTTTTTATACCAATTTATTTGAGTTAGCACAAAATGTGCAGCGCTGTTCTTAATTACTCACTTCTTTAGCTGTTAACCGGTTCGATGAATTATAAATAAGAATTTTCCCGATTAGGTCGATAGCTTCTGGTTCAGTATCCTCAAATGTATTTTCCCACGGTATTCCTTTATGATATGGGAACGTGATCTTGTTGTAATCAGGCAACATACTTAAATCTGGCCATGTTTCTGACGTAGGAGTACCTAAGTATCTTAAAACAATTGCTAACTGCTCGATATCTGTCTCTCCCTGTTCATTTAATAATGATCGTTGAGTTAAATTTTAACAGAAAAGAATTAAGATTGAAATAATAGATACTGTACTGGAAATAATGGTGACTTGTTGAGTAATTCACCGATAATACAACCGATGGACCACATGTCAATCGATGATGTATAATATTTTGCACCATATAACAATTCAGGTGCTCTGTACCATCTTGTAGCAATTTGATGCGAATATGGCTTCGATATATTTTTCCACAACAATCGGCCCAAACCAAAGTCAGCAATTTTTAATATACCTTTACTATTTATCAGTAAATTAGCAGGCTTTAAATCCTATAAACATGTATGTATTTATCATTATGTTATTCTTAATAGGCATGTTAAATGCAGTGGCCACAACTTGTATTTATCTTGTACTCCTATTGAAAAACGTTTTACGACAAGCACTAATATCTTACAGTCAAATTACCCGATGTATTATATTCTTTTCATGTATATACGCAATTCCTTCTAAAATCATTTTTGTATAAGTTTTGACTTGAGTAGAAGTTAATAATATATCATTGTCTTTTATTATCTCCCATAATCCTGTTGGCATATATTCGAAGACCATAATAAAATCTAATCCAACTGGAAAGGCATCTAATAACTCTACGACCTGTAATAAATGCAACTATTTCGGTCAGATCGATAAAGTTTCTTTTATTATGAAACGAATGATAATATATTGTAATAAGACTGCGGATCTTTATACAAAATAAAGCATTTATAACATCAGTGTAGAAAACAAAATCTGAATAGGAATTCATTTTGTTTTTTAAAATATCGTAATATGCATTTTTCTTTTGATACTTCGTGTAAACATTGAAACTATTTATTATATATTCTATAAAACTATTTTCGTATAAATGCATAAAATCCGCAGCCTAATTATGGTTTCTACGTACATTACAGTGGCTTAATTGTTGCAAAATTTTTATCTCACGAATAATAGATGTAGATATACCATTGTCAATATTTTTCAAAAACAATTTTTTTAATGCAACATCTTTCTCTGTTTCTATGTCGTGCGCTTTTAAAACTACACCTTGTGCTCCTTCTCCTATTTTTCCTGTGATTATATATCTATCCATATTCAAATGCTTCAACTTCTACAATCAAATAATATTCATTTTATTGTGTAATAAATACTGATGATCACTGTACGTACTCATCTGAATTCTAGTATTTACAGTAAAGAGTAAAATTGAATTAACGATTTTTGAAACTGACTAACTTTTTCAAACGATCGGAATTTTTTTGGATAGTTAGGTGGACTAGTTTACTGAATGATCTTTATATCCAATGAAAAGATTAAAATTGACAGAAAATTTAAAAAAAATTTGTGGTATTGCAAAAAGAAATACTTTTAAGTTTAGTTAGTACTTTTAAGTCATATACCTAGAAAAAGAAAACATCCCCTTAATGGATTGTTCACGTTCAGATTTCTGTCTGTATTCCCACGGGCACTTTTTAGAGAATTCCGTAGGATTCTATTAAATTTTCAGTAGTTAAAACGCGGGCAATCTAGTACCGTAATCACCGTAGCCCCAAAATATAAGGCAAGAGGGTGTAAAAACTGGATAAGGCAGTTAGATGAATCAGGGACCAGGGGTGGTCACTTGATCATTGTTTAGTATCAATAGTGGTGTACTGTGGTCAAGTTGAAAGTAGGCTGTGATACAAAGTACAGTGTGAAAATACACAATCAAAATGTACGTATTACAATGTTAACTTTGCCCACTGAGTGTCCAGCTTCAACTAACGTGTTGTTCAATTGTTTGAGCAATTGTTACCATAGTTACGATAAAAATATTGATTCATAACCCTAATACTTTTCTCCAATTTCTGAATTCTCATTCTCCATTGTACCCTAAGTTAAACCCATTGGAAATTGTTTGAAATTTTGTACAAAAGTAATATAGGTAATAAAGAATATGTGTGCAAAATCCTGAACCCATCTCGTTTTCGAAATACCATCGCCACGAAAAAAATATCTTTCGGCGGCTACTGCAATTGATCGAATAATGACAAATACTTGACGAATATCAGTAGAAAAGTAGTGTAAACTATAATAAAGAACATAGATTTTTTTTAAGTTATTCACCACTTAATTAGTTACGAATTAATATTATTCGAAGTGTTAGTGTTATCGTTCCATCATTTCTTACGCCATGTAGCAACGTTGAGCTCAAACCGCGCCGAAACCTACGAATGTTCTTATTTGTTCATTTTCTAACATAATATAATAACCAAAATTCATGTTTTTTAATATATGACCTTTTAATACAGAAAAAGTCTTGTATTTGTAGTTATTTATTTTTAAACCTTATCCTGATTAATAACTGAGAGTAGTTCCTTGTTCAATTGTTTAAAGTAGAACTGTTACATACGTTTTAATCTTAATTTATTTGTTATTTATTTGTGTTATAATATTTAGAATTATGAGTTCTAATAAAAAGCCGACGAATTTTCATAAATCCAAATCGTACTTGAAGAAAAAGAAGTCTACGAAATCCAATGGTAAGATGTTTTTTTTTATTTTCATGTCCTCTAATTTATTATAAAAATACAATCTTTAAAATAATATTTTCTATTTAAAACATATTTTATTCCCCGTATTATTCGATGAAATTACCGAAACAAACCGAACAAATCTATTCTTTTCCATTCATAGAATTTAATATTTTCGAATATTATACGATACTATACATACATTTACTAGAATAGTAATAATGAAAATTTGCTGTATAATCCCTGAAGTATTCTTTAATAAAGATTTTGTAATATGTTTTAATACAAACTAATTGTTTAATTACAAGACTTCTTTTATTTTTTTTCTAACATATGTTATGTATAAATTCTTCTATTATGGAAATATAATTCCATAGATAAAGAAAGTGATCAGAGCAAGAATAGAACATATCAATCTCTGGATCCAGATCAGATACGTCAATTACTGAATGAAGATAATACATACGTGGATTTTAAGATTCCTTATTATGGATGGAAATTATTTTTTTCTGATGAAGGTACAAACATTTCTTAAATTAGGTTTGGCCATAGTTTATTTTAAATAGGATAACAAATAGTTATTTGAAATAACGAATTGTTATTATAATAATGAATTAATATAATTATGTAATAATGAATTATTTCGAATGATTATTTTTTATCTTATTTCAATTACAATTAATCAATAATAGAATTAATTAAATAAAGCCTGTTCTAAATCACAATTGAAGTTACAAGTAACGATAATTAATTAATTGTTTAGATTATAAAGATGATTCGGATACTGTTAAAAAAGTTCAAGCAGTAGAGAATTTCATTCGTACACATCAACGATTGTTTTTACCATTTACAATTGAAAATTTAGAAAATTGTTCAGTATTTTCTGTTGACATAAGAGATCTATATAGTGACAGTAATTTTTTAAACGAATGGCCGGATTTTAATACAAATATTTCGGAAGATCCGTCGCGTACATTGAACTGTTTCAAACTTGCTATACATCAGGTAATCACGGTTTGTTCATTTAAATTTATTTTAAGTCCTTAAGTTTCTTTTTATACAATATCGAATTTCATGCTTTCAGCAAATATTAAATACAATACCTAAAGAAACTTTGACTCCTATAGACATTATAAGTAATGTATCCACAGTCAGATTGAAAATATTAAACTATTTACCAATCGTACCATTACAAGACATAAAAGCCAATTATTACGGTAAGTACGTAATTTTTTGTACCAGGGTTGCAGATAAGTGATTAAATTTTGTAATTCAACTGAGGACATAGTTGTCAACGTTTGATCTTTTTGTTCAGATCTGACTAATTAATAATTGAAATTATTTAATTTAATAGAACTTAATTAAAGAATACTTCCAATGTCAATTGAGATTTAGAGAAATTTAATCTCTGTATACAGGTTGTTCCAGAACTAGTTAATTATAAAGTATAAAAAATGGGAAAAGAATGTCAGTTGGCACTTATTCGTTCGTCTTTAAATTCACCTGCTCCTAGAAGAATTTCAATGGATTAAGGTGCCCAAGTCTGGCAATCAGAAAAAATCCTATCCTACGTTAATACGTCAATTAAAAAATCTGCAACCCTATTTTGTACAATGATAAAATCATTCGAGTTCTTATAGACGTCTTGTTTTTATAATAGGGAAATTAATATCCATTAGAGGCTGTGTAATAAGAGTAGGTCGCGTGAAACATCTTGCACAGTGGATACTATTTAGTTGTTGTCAATGTAATTTACAGCAATTGAAAAAACTGCCATTGGGAGTTTATAAAGTTCCAAAGAAATGTAGTCAATGCGGTGTTTCGAAATTCCGTGCAAATTTAGACTCACCGTTGGTGAAAAGTACCTCCTTCCAAACCATCAAAATACAAGAGATTTCTAATAATGATCAGGTTTTCATCTTTCTTTTAAATAAAGAGACAAAATTGTTATCGTACTTTTTGAAGAGGATGATTTGTTGTTATTTTACCCCATACTTTACAGAATAGTAAAGGTGGCATACCTAGGATGCTTGACGTTGAAATAATTGATGATTTAGTAAATACTTGCCTGCCTGGAGACGATATTGTATTGACAGGAATTATAAAGGTGAAAATCAACATCTATATGCACTCCACTGAAAACGAAATAATTGCTCATTTTAACAATAATTTTTTATATGTATTTGACTCTAGAACGTTTTAAATATAAAATATATAACGTTCTATATATAAAAATAGAACAAAATTAATAAGATGTGTTCAATTCTCTACTATATAGAATCTCTTTTCTCATCTTTCTCTCGTCTCATTTCGTTAATAAATATTAGTTTGTGGGCAAAGAGCAAGGCAAAGGAGCAATTAATTCATTTATATTATAATAATCTATCTCTTTATATTAAAGTGTTATGATTAAAACTACGTGCAGGGAACTAATGATGGCTCTCGAAATAAAATTTCGTTCTCCTTATACATGGAAGCCATCACGATAATCAATAGTAAACAGAAACTTCAAAATGAAAGTATCACAGATAACGAAATGCGGATAAAGGATTATATGGCAATCAAGGTATCATTTCACCATTCTACGCACGTGACATCACATAGAAGAGATTTAGTTTATTTATACGAAGAGAATAAATTAAAGTAGAGTAAAAAATAATTAAAAAGAATATTCATATTTAAAATGTCAATGAGAGATTTGTAGACGTAATTGTTGGGCAATGGTTGCTTTTATATCCATTATGTCCAAACACGATTCTTTTATTTTAATTATTAATTTAGTTTGGTATAGATGTTTATTTAAATTGTTATTTAAAAAAATTGATTTACTTCGCGAGTCAATTGAACGGCGCTGACGTAAAAGACGATTTGTTTTTTATTCCAAGATTATATTTATTCCTCAGGAAGTATATAATATGCCAAATATCTTTGCACATTTGGTACACTCGCTTTGTCCAACTATTTACGGTCATCAATTGGTAAAGGCTGGATTGTTATTAAGTTTATTTGGCGGTAACATGGAACGCTCCGAGATACGGGACAATATTCACGTACTGGTAATCGGTGATCCTGGCCTTGGTAAATCTCAAATGTTACAAGCTTGTACCCGAGTTTCCGCTAAAGGTACATGATAAATTTTTTATCACGCTTCTTCACTATTTTCTCAATAAATACTCAAATTTCGGTACTTTTATATTTATCGTAAATGTTCTGTACTTTGTTAGCAATGTCATGATATGCGAAAGGGAAATAAAGAAAAGAAGAATGAAGAGAGAAACTTTTCTCTATTTGCGTTTTCTAAAGTATTAAAACGGTACCAAGTATGGTCCCTGTTAGCAAAATGTATGCAGATTAGTGGTAGAACACAGATCTGTTTCCAAATTCGAAGTCATCCATGCCTGCATTAAGCTTCCATGTTAGAAGTAGTATCTGGATTTTTAAACAAATTGGGAGCAAATCCTGCAACCAATACCGAAACGGTGTAACCATTCAAATGGACAAAATCTGACACTGCAGGCTTGGCTAACAGGGATCTAACTTGAATCACGGATGAAACAACGAAACAAGTGCAATTATCGTAAAAACCTTTTGAGCGTTTATCAAGAGACTATTCCATCTCTTAAAAAAAATTGATATCCGATTTTTTTAAGCTGTATACGTATGCGGAAATTCAAGTACGTCATCTGGTCTCACGATAACAGTTGCGAAGGAGAAGCAAAGTAACAATTTTGCTTTAGAACCGGGAGCCTTGGTCTTGACCGATAGGGGCTGTTGCTGTATCGACGAATTTGATAAAATGTCCAAACAACATGCGGTAAAGTTAATTAGAATAAAGTTAATTAAGACTGAGGATGTGGCACATGGTGTGACGGATCCTTTAATCCTGTTGAGAATTTTAAAGAAGCATAAAAATCACAAATTAATATTCGTTCATTCACGATGACATATAACTATAGAGCTCAATGATTAGATCTTTCGTTTATCAAACATATAACTTCTCATTGTTTAAAAATACAGGTTTTGTTAGAAGCAATGGAACAACAATGTGTAAGTGTTGCAAAGTCGGGCATAGTGTGCTCTCTTCCTACTAGAACCTCGATTCTAGCAGCTGCAAATCCAATTCATGGTAGATTCAATAGGACTAAAACAATGATACAAAACTTGAATATGAACGCTCCTCTTCTGTCACGCTTCGATTTGATATTCCTACTGCTAGATGAACCAAATCAGGTACATATGTATTTAATTACCAAATATTTCTATACATGTAACGAATAGTACATACAGAATGAGTCATTAAGAAATATCGTGTTCAATAACTTGTTATTTAATGATACTATCAAAACGTTCGATGGATGATTTAATTATATGATTAGGAGTTTAAAATTCAGTCGATGGATAGATTCTTTACCATTTTCGAGTTTTACCCTCAAAAACGAGTCGAGAATCATTGCCCTAAGCCGTATTAATATTTAAATACGCTTTGTATGTAAAAGATTACTGATTTTAGAAGCAATAATTGACAAATGAACTTTAAACATATTCCTCTGTCTTGATATTTATTTTTATCCGTGAAACAATTTTTCCTTTTATTATGTATTTCAACCATTTTTAGACTCTTTCCCTTTGTAATAGATTATAGATGATTTGCTATCCAAACACGTCATGTCAATGCACTCTGGTTTGCATTTAAATGAAGATAAAAGTAGGCAAAGTAGTACAAATATACCGGATATAGATAGTAATCTGTCATTAAGGTAATTAAAAACTACTCTCAGTTGAAGTTATATGTATTAACATTTCGCTTAAGAATTATTACCTTTTAGAGATAAACTTGCATGTTTTATGACTGACAACGCGAACATTATTCCACAAGCGATTCTCCGAAAATATATTGCTTATGCTAAACAATACGTAAAACCAACGATAAGTGAAAAAGCGGCGAAGGTTTTGCAAAATTATTATTTGGATCAACGAAGTAAAATTAATAGGTTCGAAGATTTATCCGTGTGCAATAGGCAGTTGGAGGCAATGATTCGTTTAACGGAGGTATGATTCTTCAATTCGAGTTTTCTGTTGAAAATATAAATGACAATTGTTAATACAGGCCAGAGCTAAGTCTGAGTTGCGTACAGAGGCGACTGAAACCGATGCCTTAGATGTAATCGAAATTCTCCAACACACGTATGAGAGTAAAACTATAAAATATGATTTTCCAAGCTCGAAGAATATAACTAGTGGAAAAGTAAGTAATCTTACTATTGTACAAAGAGAGCGTTTGTGTGTTAGTAAAAATTTCAAAAGCGAAACCGCGACTTGGGACGCTAGCTTATAATAATATCACATGAAATGCTGTAAAATATTTATTTTCTGTTTACAGGTCAAGAAGTTTGTCAGTATTTTACAAGCGGAAACATCTTCTGATAGCAGTAAACGATTCACTATGAGAAGATTAGAAGAAATTGCGTCGAGCAATAATATAATAGTCGATAATTTCTCTGAGTTTGTACTTAAATTAAATCAAAACGGTGTGCTGTTGAAGGCGGGAAATAATACGTTCAAATTTATCTCTTAGTTTGTATGCTTACTTTTTATACAATATAACACTCGTACTGTCATCTTAGATGAAAAAGCATTGCTCGGCCTTATTCATACTCATACTCCTCCCGTGTGAAAAAGTTTGGATACGGGGTGAGAGAGACTTTTAGAACATGCTATCTCTCTTGCGCAATGCGGTGATTCAGTTAGAGGGGAGAGCAAGCAACCAATCACGGTGTTGCAAGAGAGAGATAGCTATTCCCATTTCTCTATTCCCACTCTACCATTGAGTGGCTGTCTCCACTCCATGTCTATATAATATACATCTAACATATGTATCTAACTTCGGCGCACCGAATCAGTGCCATTTCCGAGTTTCTCCTCACCCCTCACGAATACGTGTTAGTTAAGAAATACTCGAAGAGAGAGATTACTCTCGACA